CTAATTTGTGTGAGTCCTTAGACAACAGCTGTCCCCCACGAGTTACTTGCCTTAACAGCTGCGTGCAGAGACACTGTAAAACCACGGGGCCCCATTTTTGTGAAATTGGCCCAGTAAGTAGTCACTCCACAGAGAAAGGACAGGCCTGGACATCCGCCTGCAGCGCCAGCCGCGAGGCGGATGGAGAGGGTGACATGTCCATCGTGCCGGGGCTGACAGGTTGTCGTACCGAGTTTGGGGAAGAAAGATGTAAGTTGTTTGCAGAGGAACTGTCTGCAGATGCGGGTGTGGGAGAAGGAAAGGCGGAGGGCGTTCGGGCCCGGAGCCTGCGGTGCGGCAGCAGTGCGTGCTGGCTCTGGACGGCTGTGGGCGAGAGTCTGGAAACCCCTGTGTCCCGCGTGGTGGCGCTGGTGGCCGGCGTCCTCTCCAGGTAATAACTGTGGCTGAATCGGAGCTCCGCGCCCTCAGGAGCTGAGCTGCCTCCTGCTGGTGTCGGCCTGGCCTCTGGCTGATGCTCCGCCTCTGTCATCTGATGGAGGACATCTCAGACCCTGTGTTGTGACGGTGCTGATGCCACACCTCTGCCACCCTTCAGATTGGGAATAGCAGCATCCGGGGCACTCGGGTGGTGACACTGGAGCAGCGTGTTGAGGGAGCTTCCAGACAAAACGTGCCGTTTCCCGGCAGAGGAGTAGTGAGAAAAGGCGGGACCAGCTGGGGGGGCCCATGGGGTGGCTGTCGCACTGGTGGTGTGCCCCCGCCCCCACTGCCAGGGGACGGTGTCAGGAGATGCAGTGGACAGTAGAGGAGGGGACCTTTAGCTGGCTCTGTTCCATGGAGAGGGGTCTGCAGGGGCGGGGGCAGGGCAGGGGCGCCGATGGAGACGACCCCCTGAGCCAGGCGAGCTGCTGATCAAGTGCGAGGCGCACTGAGCGGAAACGGGCGTCCAGGCTTTGGTTTGGGCAACTGAGTGCATCACATGCCACCAGCCACAGTGACAAATGCACAACGGGCAGCAGGTGTAGCGAGGAAGGTGCTTGGGGTCGATTTGGGGCACTGAGCGTGTTAGGGGGGCCTGGAGCCCAGAAGGGCTTCAGGTCAGTCACAGGCTCGGCCGTCTTCGGAGCACAGCCAGAGCCAGAGGGACGAATGACATCGCCAGGGACGAGCTGAGCGACCCTGGGGCTTCAGGGACCACGAGAATCGTGGTGACTGCGTGTGGGGACTAAGGACAGAGGAGGGTCCCGGCAAAACCCACAGCTCAGAGCTGGGGGCTCCGTCAGCAAAGTGAAGCCGGGGAGAGGAAGGACCGTCCGGTCAGTGTCACATGAGGTGAGCAGCTCCTTCCGTTGTCAGCAAACACCCGCTGTGCCCGTCGTCACGGCGTGTTGTTAAAGGGCCAGCGCACCATCCCCAGACACCCGTGTCCTGTCAGGAAACCCAGCGGCCTGTGAGGAGGGCGCCTCAGCGTGTCCTGGGCCCGCCATGCAGTCACGTGCTGCCTGGACACGGGCTGCGTGCCACGTGCTGCGCCAGGCGCAGCGGTCAAGGGTCCACTTGGCACTTGCACAGCAGGAGGGAAAACCGGGGGGCCAGCACGCAGTGACCGTGTGTGTGCACGTGTCCCAGCGTGTGAGCCCAGGGGCAGAAGCGTGGGGACCGCTCCTGAAATGAGGACGGGGCGCCTTCTTTAAGGAAGAGGGGTTGGGTCGGGGGCTGGTACGAGAACGGAGGCGGAAGCGGGCAGCCTCCAGGGGGAGACACAGGGAATGTGGAGCGCTGACCACGGGCGTGCGTGTTGCCGCTGCGGGAGAAGCCCTGGGGGGCGGGCGGTGACAGTGGGGGCGCCTCGAGGGGCCTGGCCAGGCGGGCAGCGTCTCTTCCATAGCTACTCTGGGCAGGACACGGGGGCTGGCACCAGCGAGATGGTGAAAGCGGCGAGCAGTGGACATCAAACCAAGAGGCAGAGTCTGCAGGACCTGCCGGGGGGTTCGGGGGGGGGGGGAGCCATGGGCTCCAGGTTTGTTTCTGGCTGTGCTGCCAGCACACCCGCAGGAAGGAGACTCCAGAGGGCACACAGGTGTGTGGTGCTCGCAGTGCCTAGGCTCAGTTTAGGGGCGTTGGGCTCAACCTGTGTTCAAGACAGCCACCTGGAGACCCCAAAACGGGCACAGACACACACATCTGGAAGAAGGTCTGGGAGGAGGTCCCCGCGTGGCCGTCGTCGGCTGTGGGATGGAGAAGGAAGGACGTCAGGCCAGAGTGTGGGGAGGAGCCGGCCTCACGCTGACCCCCGGAGGGGACACAGAGCGAGTGCTGGCGGACAGCGAGGTCCTGTGATGGGGCCGCTGCTGGGGGGGTGGGGGCGGCAAACAGCCCCTGCGTGTCCCTCCACCAGAGGGCGGCTGTCTGCACCCCGCGCAGGGCTCACCGCGCTGCAGCAGGTGGGAGCCAGTTGCTTTGTTGTGTTGACTCACTTTTCAGGATTCATTTTCTTTAAATCGCTGGGACCCTTCACCCTCTTACCTCACCCTCCCAAGCCTCTTTACAACAGTGAAAGAGCCAAAGAATGGAATGTGAACCTGATGGTGTTCCCATCCTCCTGTGTACTTGCAGGGGGAGTGACTGAGTGTGGGGCGTGCCTGCCTCCCACTTCCCCCCCCCCCGGGGACCTGGAACTCCCCAGAGACTAGTGGGGACCTGTGGGCGTAGGCACCTCGTTCTATAGCCAGAGTTGTTTGTTATCAGTTTCTGTGATCGAGTGCTGGCAGAAGCTCCTCGTGTTCAGAACGTCACCCTCAGCGCCACAGTGACACGCTGTCCCCACTCTGGCTTCTGGGGTGGCCACTCCTTAGAATTCAGGAGAACAGAAGACAGATGGCAGCGGCCGCTCCCCACAGACCGTGGGTATCCAGGCCGAGCACAGTGACTGTCCCTTAGCCTCACTGCCACTGAGAGCAGAGCCTGCTGGCACCGGACCCTCACTGTCCCACTGCTCCCCCTACGGTGTCAGCTGTCATGTGCCACCGTGACCCACGGCCTCCTTGGCCCTGAGCCAAGGCAGTCACACTGCTTCTGTGGAAAGGAAGCGCAGGCTCAAGTGCCGTTGTCCCCGAGCAGAGCTCAGAGAAGGCTGCGGTGACTGAGGACAGAGTATGCCGGTGGCACGCGACCTGGAAGAGCTGGCACGTGTCCACGGGGCCGGGGAGACGCCATCACACCCCATGTCCCTGGCCTGCTGCAGGGGACAGACCCCAGCAGCACCCGCCAGGAGGGACCCAGCACATTGTGCTCCCTACACCGAGTCGTCGCCCAGTGAGGCCCTGGCAGCGACCTTACATTTGCCTCTTCCTTCCTTCTTGTTAGTTCTAAAAGTCGGAGTTGTTTCCTAAACTGCGGCTTGTTCCTGGGGCCACACAGCAAACTGAGGAGCCATTCATTTTAAACGGGGCTTTAAGGTGGGCGGCAGGCATGGGTGTCACCGTTGTGCCCTGTGTTCTGGGACGGGGTCAGCTGGCGTGCCTTCTGCCTCATGTTCACTGGAGGCCACACACACATGAACCCCTTCCTGCCGGAATGTGCCACTGGCACACCCCGTTCCAGGACGGTCCCGCCACGCTGCAGTGTGAGTTGGGTCACATACGTTATTGGGTATTATCGTGTCCGTCTGATGTGTATAGGAGCTAAGAAACCCTGTTTTGTTTTCATAATCTAACCTATTTTGGGGGTTTAATATCATTGACCTTGACGTTATAGTAACCGTTTTACAGACAGATTATGTTTTTACAAGGTCGTCTCAGTGAAGTCAAATTGCGTTTGCAGAGCATTTATTTTGAATAAGGACTAGGGTGACCTGGAAAACCTGAGGTTTTAAAAGTGAACGTTTAGGATTGTGGGAAAATCCCTCAGTGAAGATCAGGTTCACTACAAATGCAGAGCGGCCTCCGATCCGTGACCAGCTGGGCGCAGACCCGAGCTGCTTCCGTGCAGACAGCAGCCTCAGTGAGAGGCGGGGACGCTGTGCCATGCGCCAGCTTACTTCCAGCGGTTTGAGAAGTGTCAGAACGCTCTTAACACAAACTTCAGTGACATTTAATTTTAAGAGTATTTCACCCGTTTTTCATGCATAGGAGAACAGTGTTCTGAAACCAAGAAGGGGCCGTTCACCTCAGGCACTCAGACTCACAAACTGCACTTGTCTCCTTGTACACGTGGGCGACAGCTCTCTCGAGGTGCAGACATGCTCCTGGCCCCTCCACCTTTTAATTTGAGCAGGAGGACGGGCCACAGCAAGCAGGTGTGCTCGCACCTTACAGCCAGCAGGGGTGTGATTCCCGCTGAAGCGGCTGTGGCACACAGCATGCACTCACTTCCGGAGCGAGGGACACGCGGGGCACGCAGGAGTGCGCGTGATCAGAAAAGGCGTGCCCAGCGGGTGGTGTGAGCCGAGCCAGCTGGTAACAGCTGTGCCAGTCGCGGCTGGGCCTGGAAGTGAGTCCTGCAGACTCCATCTGAGCAGCTGCCCACACGCACACCGCTCATCTGTGGGGACCCTTCCCTGACGGCCACTTACCTGGACCAATGGCGATCGCAGGGTGGTGCCCTCTTGTAGAGCAGGTTGAGCTAAACAGTAAAATAATGCAAATATTACAGAAAGTTAAATGCTAAAGGTAATGAGAACAAATTAAAAATACAGCCTGGGCCTTCCAGGTGCCATCACTCACCAGCAAGCAGCTTGGGGCTGTGCGCCCCAAAGGTACATACGTTCAGAGTCACCTGTGGTCCGAATCTGCGGCCTGGAGCGTGGGCGGGTTCCTCACCCACCAGCAGGACCAGGCCACGTGGGTCCTCGCGCTCGGAGCAGCAGGGTGGCGGGGGCGGGCCAGGCCCCCACGAGGCGTGTCTCGATGGTAGTTCCCTGTTGCGGAAACGGCACCCCGGTGAGGCGCTCGTCCTGTGCGGCTTTTCGTGCTCTCACCCTGCTCTGTCCTTGCCCCTAGCACGGAAGCAGGAGATCATCAAAGTCACTGAGCAGCTGATCGAAGCCATCAACAACGGGGACTTCGAGGCGTACACGTGAGTACGGCCCAGCTCCAGGGTCTCAGCGCTCACTGAACCCTTGCCGGTGGGGTCCCTGGTCCATCCCCGGTTTGTACACCGGCCTGGGCAGCCCAGCAGGACCTGCCCGGGGGGAGCTTTCTGGGAGGAGAAGGTGCTGGATGGTAGCACACACGCGCCAGTGCAGCTCTGTGAGTCTGTTATCACCCCAACGCCTGTTTCAGGAGAGACACATGTGTGCCACACACGTGCGCAACACGACAAAGAACAGGCCAGTCCTCCCGAGGCGGGCGGAAAGACCCGTGTGGTCCAGGTGCTGGTGGGCCTAAACACAGATCCCCGATGCTGACCAGCTACCTTTTTAGAGGAAGACTGAATTCCTGTCACCATAGCAACCCTTTGTTCCACTTGTTCCTTAGAAACACATTGTGTAAGCTCGACTCTGAGCTTGAAAATACCTGCCCACCAGCAAGTCTGAGGCGAGGTCCGAGCCCCCCGCACCCCGCCATTAAGGCTTTATCACAGAGTAACCACGATGATTTTTTTTTATATTGAAAGCATTTTCTACTTTTAAAGTATTCTTAAAAAACATCAGTTCCACATTCTCTGAACAGGACTTTCAAGAATCACCATGAGTTAGCCTTTTGAAACTTATATTTCTGTTGAACAGTTAAAATGTTTTCCCACCCAAATGGGGAATTTCCATATGAAATTTAGATGTCGCCCCATCCTATCAATAAGCAGTCCAAAATCCTTCTATTTGGGCTTTTTTTAATCTACTTTGTGAACTTCCACTAATTCTTTTTTTTTTCTTTTTTTTCTTTTTCTATTGGGGAATTGGGGGAAGGGGAACAGACAAGTTGCTGTCGTTTTGTTCTTCAGTCTAGTTGTGGAGGACGTTGCTTCACTGGCCCAAGTTGGCACCATCATTGCGCTCTTTCCGGGCGAGGCAGATAAGTCGCCGGCTTCTGGATGGCCGCTCACGTTGGCCGCTGGCCGCTCACGTTGGCTGCTGGCCGCTCACGCTGGCTGCTGGCTACACACGGTAGCCCATGGCCACCCCCTGCCACAGGGGCTGCAGTCTACGCCATCGCTGGCGACCCACGGCAGCCCAGCTCCAGGTCGAGCTGTTGTTCAGCATCTTAGCTGCAGAGGCCAGTGTCACTGGCCCTCACATGTGGGATCCGAACTGGGGCCCTCTGGCGTCCCAAGCCAGTTCTTAACCAATGCGCACTCGGCCGGCCCCTATTTCCACTAATTCTTCAAATCTAAACTTCACGTCACTGTCTCTGAGAAGCCTGCCCTGACCACCGCAGGCTCAAGGGGCTGTTCAGCCCTCTGTGTTCCCATGGGACTCGAGCGCATCCCAGCGAGCTCGGGTATCAGCAAGGAACCGTCACAGTCATTCCCCACACACACCGCACTGCACAGCCCTGAGTCGCGGTCCCACCCGCCACCCTCCAGGAAAACTACGCGTCCCTAAGAGCCCAATGCAAATCTTCCTCTTAGATCTGTCCTGCCCTGTGTGTACACTGCCTGCTTACCGAGCACTTTGTAATTATTTCTATCCCGGGATTAATTTTGTCATAATTGTTTGTTTCAAAGAATTTCTGCTACATAATAGGTGTTCAACAATTCTTTATTGAACAAATAAGTTTATGCAAAGAAAACCCATTGCTGTTCTCTGAACACATACCGTATTTCCCCATGTATAAGATGCACCTTAATTTGGGGGCCCGAAATTTGAAAAAAAATGTATTACATAAAGTTATTGAACTCAAGTTTTACTCATCATAAAATTCATACAACTCCTCATCACTGTCAAAACTCCCAACCATTAGCTTGTCCTCATCTGTGTCTGATGACGAATCACTGTCTTCATAGATTGCCTCGTCCTCAGTTCCATCTATGGCATTTGAAATCTACCACCACCGTATAAGACGCACCCAGTTTTTAGACCCCAAATTTTTCAAAAGGTGCATCTTATACATGGGGAAATACGGTATTTAAAACAGTGTGTCTCTTTGTTGAATCAAACCTAGGATTGAAAAGACAACTTAATCTGTGCATTTGAACCTTTTATTAATTTTATTTTAAAAGTTAAATAATCTTTCAACACAAGTTTAATTAAGTCTTTTGAACGTTGCCAGGAAGTGTAGGAAGTGACACCTGCTTTCAAATCAGTCATAATATGGATATTTGTCATGAATGGAGGAGGCAGCAAAAATTATTCCCAAAGTATCTAATTTTAGAGCCAAAGTTGGCGTCGTAGGTCTGGAGAGTAACCTGGACTCGAACAGCATTTGAAAGATCGGGGAGGCCTGGAGAGTTCACATTGGAGAGAAAAAGGTCGAAATTTTTCAGAGTAAACTCCTGTGGTTTGCACTTTGCCGTCGTCTGCTGGACTGACTGCGTGACCTTTGTCCCTTTGTCCCGTCCCGGTTCTCTGTAGGGAGCGTCTTAGAGTCCGCTCCTCAAACCAGCTTCAGGGCCTGCAACAGAAATTTGCTATTTTTTGTGGTTTTTAGAAACTCCTTCACTGACTGTTGGGTAAATCAGAATGGATATGTGCAAAATAACAAAATACATTAACTTGTGTGCTATTTTCATTGTTTTTCTTTTCCTACAGAAAAATCTGTGACCCAGGCCTCACTGCTTTTGAACCTGAAGCTTTGGGAAATTTAGTGGAAGGGATGGACTTTCATCGATTCTACTTTGAAAATGGTACATTTATTCTAAATTTAATAACATGCCTTTTCAACCTCCTTTCGAATGTCTCCCAAACTTGCAGATTCTTTGGCTCTTTTATGCAATAAGAATTTTTAGTATTTGAAATCAGGGAAGGAGGGAGATGACAGGGTTAAAAGTGTTGGTATGTTTTGAAAAATATCTGACTTTGTATAAAAAGTAAGGTTGACGGAATACACCCCACATAAGTCCCAGTAAACACGTGCTACAAGGTGCAAAATGAGTTACCAAAAATGTGTTATTTCATGTTTCCATAAAACGTTGTTTATACATGAAAAAATACAAGAAGGCACAGCGTGCCATAACATTCCACAGGGGAGTGCTTTCAAGCCTACTTAGGACTCATTTTCAAAGAGACGACCAAGTATTTCAGGTCAGGTTACAAGAGTTTAGTGGCCTCAGAGGAAAGGCCACATTTCAGAGAAAGTGACAAAAGAAACTTGCAGAAATCCTTCAGGCCACCCGGAAAGTGGGAACGGAAACCCCGGCAACGCTCCCGGTGTCTGCACGGTGCATGCCAGGGGCTCGTGTGCGGTGGGGGCTCGAGGCGTGAGGAGTGTCATAATGGTCAGGGTCCTCACGCTGTGACAGGGCTGTCTGCCAGCAGGGATTGTCACGGTGTGTCCCAGGAATTACTTTTCTCACATGCACGGGGCATTTGCAAGGAAACAGGTAACCGGGTAGGAAACAGGCCTTGCGAGCTTCCGTAAGTGACCTCTAGCTGCTGACAGCATCTCCTGTCCCGTAAGAGAGCTGACAGCTAGCCTTGGACATGCTGAGGTGCGCGGACGTGACCTGCCCTCCGTGGCGTCCGGGGCCGTGTGCTCGTTGTGGTGGGTTTTCGTTCTTCTGTGACGGTAGCTGCCGGGAGCACTGAGTTCCTCAGACCCCCTGGGAGAACAGGAAGCACTTAGGAGTCAGACAGCCCTCCTGTCTTGGTGACCTCAGCACGGGCATCTCCGTGTCTCAGGCCTGGGAGAGCTACAGTGGGCGGCTGTGGTCCAAACACCAAAGGCCAGAGCCTGGCAAGAGCTGCCCAGTCAGAGCAAAGGGCTGCAGGGCAGAACCCGGCTGTGTGGCCCACGTGGAGTGTTGGCTTCTGGCTGGCTGGCCACAGCTGGGCCACCAGAGAGTGGACTCTGCTAAGTGAAGGAGACGGGCAGAGCCGTGCCGGCCCCCTGCTGGAGACTGGGCCCCGTGCCTGATGCTCAGGACATGCCCCTGACCCCGTGGATGTCACCAACTCACGGAGACAAGACCACAGGATGGCTTGTCAGCTGCCCAGTGCTTCGTTCAGGAGCTGCTCCCTGCACAGGGGCCGGGCCCGCTCCCCCTCCGTTCGTGTTATGCTTGTTTCCAAACACCCCCCATTCTAAATAACTACATCTCTCTAGCCTCTCCCCAGTTTTCAGAGCAGCATGTGTACAGAGGGAACCAAAGAAAATAGCAGCTGTATCTCCTTTTTCCCTTTCTCTTTTCCTTTGTACTTTGCACAGTGCAAGGCACCCAGTTAGTCTGAATAATTAGTAGGCGGATGGAGGGAGGGTGGGTGGAGTTCCACATTCTCTGAACAGGACTTTCAAGAATCACCATGAGTTAGCCTTTTGAAACTTATATTTCTGTTGAACAGTTAAAATGTTTTCCCACCCAAATGGGGAATTTCCATATGAAATTTAGATGTCGCCCCATCCTATCAATAAGCAGTCCAAAATCCTTCTATTTGGGCTTTTTTTAATCTACTTTGTGAACTTCCACTAATTCTTTTTTTTTTCTTTTTTTTCTTTTTCTATTGGGGAATTGGGGGAAGGGGAACAGACAAGTTGCTGTCGTTTTGTTCTTCAGTCTAGTTGTGGAGGACGTTGCTTCACTGGCCCAAGTTGGCANGGGTGGGTTTCTTTACATAGAAACTAAGCTCTGTTTCCGTGTTGCTCCCGATCAGCTTTGTCCAAGAGCAACAAGCCAATCCACACCATCATCCTGAACCCCCACGTCCATCTAGTGGGGGACGATGCCGCCTGCATCGCGTACATCCGGCTCACGCAGTACATGGATGGCAGCGGGATGCCGAAAACCATGCAGTCAGAAGAGACACGCGTGTGGCACCGCCGGGACGGCAAGTGGCAGAACGTGCACTTTCATCGCTCGGGGTCGCCAACCGTCCCCATCAAGTAAGTGTGTCCAGGCTGTCGGCACCAGTCACTTACCCACTGGTAACAGCAGGTCGTGTGGCATTTAATGCCAGCGGTCGGTCACACTGGCAAGAAGAGATGTCTCACGAGAAGCAGCCTGTAATCTCTGGAAGGACCCACCCAAGCGGCCACGTGCAGGCGCACACCTGTCCCCAGCACACGGCAGTGTCACATAGGGACTGGCCAGGCCAGGGTCTCGTAGGGTTAAATCAGGGGGCTTCGTGGAATAAGGTAAATCGTGTGAGACTTCACTGTCGCAACAGGCAGAGGATGTGGGGGAGTAACGGGGAGATCTAACATGGCAGTGTGACAGCGGGAGCTTCATCTCATGCAGTGTCTACCAGGGCTCAGCTACAGACAGAGAAACGTATCAAAACAGCGCTTAAGCGGAAGTGGCAGGTGCTCGAGCGTCTGTGGCTGCACCTCAGCTGCGCGCTCCGGCGGCCGTTCCCCAGATGCTGTTGCCACCTCGGTGCGTAGGTCGTGCCTGAGGAAGCGCGGGCTGATGTGTAGGCGAGTTGAGAAAGACGTTTATCTGCGACCCCAATGAGAGGACAGCCGCACAGTGAGGATGGTAGACAGCGGCAGAGCGGCCGGCCGTGGGTGCCCAGGGCGGCAGGCCGTTTGCAACAGCGGGACGAATACTCAGCGAGTGGACTTGGAGGCCTGGAAGGAACCACGAGGGCCCGTCCAAGCTGGAGGGACCGCGGCGGGCACAGCGTCAGACCGTTAGCGTGGTTGGGCAGAGGGTGGTGGGTGAGGGAGGCGGGGTCCCCCTCTGGTCAAGTGAGCGGTGAGAAAAAGGCTGGCAGCGAACAGGAAGGGGTGCGTCTCTCAGCACAGGTGTGGCCCTGCTGACCCCCCCCCCCGATCCTCACCAGCACCACTTGTTAATACTTGGGGGGGGGGGCCTTCAGCTCACTCCAGAGAACCCGCAGCAGTTCCTTGGCTCCGCATGTGCCTCGGGCTTTCCAAGGCCGCCTCTGCTGTAGAGGTGGGTTTGTAAAAAGTGGGTCAACAAGGAAAAGAACAAAAGATAGGCTGACATTCACTCTGAAAACAATAGCCATGTAGTTAACAGAAAGTCAGAGGAGCATTAGGCCAGTGAAGATGCCCATTTAGTGTGTGTGTTCTTACCCCAGAGAGGTGAGGCCCACATCGCCCGTCCCTGTGGCAGGAGGGCTGGCTCCCCTGGTCCCGGAGGGCTCGGGCTGCAGCTCCCCGAGTGTGCAGGGGATCAAGCCTAGTGAAGAAAACGCCCTTTTCTGCCAGGAGGCTTAAGTGGGGCTTTTCTTGATAGGCCCTCCTGTATTCCAAATGGGAAGGAAAACTTCTCAGGAAGCACCTCTTTGTGGCAAAACATCTAAAGCACGAAAACCCTTCCCATGTGGGTCTTGTAAGTAACACCCTGCGCTGTGGCACTTTGGGAGTGGAGCTGGTGACTGGAACGCTGCATGGCTGGTTTCCTTCCCCTTAGGATATCTTCTGCGATATACTCAGGGACAACCAGAGAGGGTCTCTGGAAAGTCACAGCATTTTTGCATGAGCTCGCGAGACTACTATGTGGCGCCGTGTTGCCGCCCAGAGAGGAGCTGCCTCCAGCACTCGGGCCGTGGGGTGTCCACACAGGCCGGGGTCTCACGGCAGACATCACTTACAGCACCTCTCAGTTATCCACACCCAGCCCACGTCCAGCTCTGGGACCCTGGGCGTCCTGGTTCCCACAAGGTTTCAGCTCCTGACGTGCACGTGGCTGCGGCCTGAGTGTCATGGAGTTGCACCGTGCGGACAGGACACGGGAGGAGGTCACAATAAGATTAAAACTCGCCAGCTGGGTGATTCCAGGGGATAACTGAAAGCTGGCCGTAATTGGATCCCTGCCCGTGCTGCTGTTAAGGTTTGTTTCTGACTTGGACCGGGACTCAGGCCTGTGTGGTTCTGCTGTGGGCATTTTCCCGCTGTCAGCACCGAGCGTCCTCAGAGCGGAAGGGGCCGTCCCGGCTGTTGGAGTAAAGACACAAGTCCTCCGCGAAAGCCGCCCAGCCACGTCGCCCCCATTTTCGAGGCTGTGCTCCCTGTTAAGTGGACTTCTAGGTGTGCTGTCCCAAGAAGTCTAAGAATAATGACAACGCTAAGGATGAGCTTAAGCTTGCAGCCTAGTTCAGTCAAGTGAGAATATACGTGTAGTAATTCGTTTAGTAAACGTGCTTAAATTGTCCGTTTAGGTGTGATACTGTGATGGAAGCCTGGCTCCCTATCTCTGTTTTCAGCCTAGCGCTGTGTGGACAGATTGACAGATCATTAACATTGGTTGCCTACCTTAATATTGTCTAACATTGTGTATTTTACCTTTAACAACTGCAAGCAAGCTCTCTTATGTGGCACTTTCAGCCTATTACTCAGATGAGTTATCAAGCCCTCCTGGGGAAGCAACGTGCTGGTCGTTGGCAGAACAGTGTAACTTTTCCTCTTCTCCTTGCAGCTAAATGCGGACAGTGCCACCTCTGCGTCGTCTCCGGGCGCCTGGACGGGAACCTGGGCCCCTCTCCATGCCTGTGTGAGTGCATGAAGGCGCGAAGGTCCTGTGTGTGCATATGTGACGCAGCGTCTTGTCATCTGTTCCTTCTGTACATCGTTTACACTTCAGCTGTGGGGGTGTTCCATGCAAACCAAGGGGGGCCAGACAAAAATTCCACCCTACTCCAAGTACAACCTGTTCATCAAGTTTCTTTTTGCCAAGATTTAACAGACTTCACCATTACTGTTCTCCCAAGAACAGTGTGTAAGAGAAATGTAACTTTTTAAAAACTCTTTGATGTTAATCTGTTTTTGCTTGTTTCACAAAAAAGGGCAAAAAAATACCTTCAGTTTCCTGGTGTGATCCTGGTTGAAATGGGCGGTTTTTCACTGAAGGCTTTGTTGCTGTTCAGCAATGGAAGAGGGTGCACGTGTGGGTGTGGAAGCGGGAACCGGGGGGCTGTCTGCCGTCGGGTCAGGCTGGCAGCTGGCACGGTCAGGTCATGTCCGCAGCTGGTCAGTCTGGTGGATTCGCTGGGCTGAAATTTTTGTTCCTTTCTCAAAGCTGCTGTTTTCTTCATTTTATCTCGTTCCCTACCCTTTTCCTTTTGTTTAGTAGTGAGTGAGATCTGCATAATGAAGGTAAAATAAAAACCGAGGCCTTTCAGAGGGAGCCAGCCTACAGTTTCGATCGTCTTCAGGGCCCACAAAAATGGTGTCAAGATTTGAAAGGCTTTCGGTTTGCTTAGGCTGGAGCTTGGCCGCGTGGCCCGGGCAGGACGGCCGGCAGTGCACGCCTCCCGCGGCTGGTTCTCTGAGGCGCAGAGGACACCCGCTTTCCATGCTCAGACGTGCTTTGAACGTGGTCGCTGCGACTTGTGCTTTTTAGCTTCTCTTTTTGTCAGGGTGACACATCTTCCTGCAAGGAGTTAGGATGCTCGTTTCAAAAATAAGACAAGGGAACACTCCCATTTTCTCCGTGCTGCTCGCCCCACCCTGTGGTGCATGGACCCTCCCCCCGCGTTATTTTACCAGTTACCGTAGAGATTCGCAACCTCAGAAGCCTGTCTGTAAAGCAAGAAACAACGAAAACAGCCCTTTTTTCTCTCATTTCATCCTTCTGTGTTGATTACTAATCACCTTAGATATTGTTGCTAGTGGATGTACGGTAGACGGATTGAAGCTTTTCTGATAATTATTACATGATTTAAAACAATATATATATTTAAAATAAATAAATACAGTAAATGTATTGAGCCATGTTAACCTGCCAATGAGATCTGTGAAGTAATGGCCTCATTTTCCCTTTTTACTTTGTTACCTTTTTGTGAAACGGCTATACGTGGCATACATGTATTTTAAAAACATAGGTATGAAGTGGTTTTTTTTACACTTTTAACGTAGCACGTGGTGTTGACGTTTCACTGTATGTAGCTCACGTCTTCTCCGCACTAGGACGCCAGGAAATTGTGCTTTGTTCTCCACCACGATCGGGTTTCACATTTATTACCTTCTATCATTTTGAAACACTGCAGTTTACCATGGGACACTGTATATATTTCTTGCCATAATGGTAAATGACTGATTGATATATTTAAGAGTTAATAAATTTGTGATTTCTGCTGACAGTGCGTCCATCTGTTTCTTAGGAGAAGGTACGACCCTTACGCCTGAGGCCGCCTCGTGCCAACGGCACATATTCTGGGCTCAGTAGGTCTCAACCGCTTACCTCCCAGTAAAGACGAAGTCACTGAGCTGCCTTTTAAGGATGCACTTGTGGTGATGGCAGCTTCATTGACTGTATGAACAAAGTAACACTCTCTCCTGGGAAAACTGGCCTGAAAGTAAAGTAGTTAGAAGCAGGTAAGAGTCAGCAAAGTTTCTAAACGTTCCTCTAAGCCCATCCTTCTCAGGGCTGCTGGTTCCGTTTTCACCCTAATCTGACCGTACATGGCAACGTTGTCGTCTCCAATAAACAGGCCAGCGTGTCAGCCCCCTCGGCTAGGATGCAAGTGGACAGAGCACTCGGCTCCGTCCAGTTTCCTGAAAGCACCACCGTGCTTGTTTCTTACCAGAACATTCTTCCCCCGCCTCTCTGCATAATTCTTATTCTTTAAAATGCACACTCTGAGCTCTCCCAGTACGTGTGCAGTCATGGTCCCGTCCCGCCAGCCACACTGTTTAGAAAACACACCTTCACTCGTGTTTCTGCTGAAGGATCGTGTCTGTTGGCCTCAGCTGGGGGCCCAAGCCCACGTGAGGGCCAGGGAGGGAGAGGCTGGCACAAGTCATTGCTGAACTGTGGCCAAGCCGGCGCTCACGCCAGGGCTGCCTGCCGTCGACACTGAGCACGCTGCCTCTTCCCTCAGTGCCCGTGGCTGTAAGATGAGAAGAAACAGGCGCCTCAGCAAGGGTGTCGTGAGGGCAGAGATGGGGCTCCGAGCCCGACAGTGCTGAGGGGCAGGTAGCATTAGGGGTGCAGCGTAGCCGCCTGGTCACTGATTCACAAAATCTAGTCACCATCTCAGTAAAGCCCTCACTGACCATCTCATCCAAGACATCAAACGTAACGTACTTTCTCCATATCACACTGTTTTCCTCGCTTTATTTCTCGTGAAGATTGGGGATCTTGTCTCTGTTCACTGTCGCATTCCCAGCTCCTAGAACAGTGTCTGGGACACAGTGGAAGTTCTACAACGCCTTGTATTTGAACGAATAAATTAATAGATTTCTCCCCTGCCTTACACTTAGAAAAGCTGGGGCTCCCAACCCGTACAGGGGCTGCCTGAGAGTAACCCCAGGGCTGTAAACTGCTGACATCATAATTACTTATGATGAAAAAAAAGAAACTCTACTGTTGTTCAAGGACAAGCTTTCAGTGTCAGAGCCCAAAATCAGAACTTCTTTAGGTTTCAAGGAGCAGAAAACTGAATTCTTGGTCTTAAGTGATAAGGAAAACACAGGAAGCCCTCGCAGTCGGCACTAGGTTCCTGGAGCTGCAGAAATGACGTATTACGAGCCATTTACCACAAGTTAGTTTATATAAACTAGCATTAGGTTCCTGCAGCACCTCACCCATGTTAAAACAAAACGACGTGGAATGAAATGACGTTATCCCAAGACCTGCTGTATACTATGTCACCAAACAAGACTTAGTTCCAGGGTTTTTATTTCAGTGACTCAATGACATGAAAACGGGCCCATGTCCCTTCCGTTTTTCACTTGCCCTTCCAAGAGCAGACACCCTGTACTCCAGGGATAAAACACTTTGTGGCCCCAAAATGCATGACTTGGCTCCTGGTGTCACATCCAAGAGCCCGTGGAAGGGCTCCTGCTGTCTCTTCTCCACCCTCACCTCTGGCAAAGAAACACTGCTCAGGTGGCCCAGAACCGGTTACATGGCACGGCCTGTCACATGCCACAGCCTGTTCGGCTCAGACTCCTCCTACAGAGCAATCCCAAAGCTGGCGGGCACTTCCCGTAGACCATGGGTGTCGGGAAGGGAGGGTCCCTGCCCAGAAACTGGAATGACACTTTGTATCTGAATCCCACCGCCATTTCTTCCTGAGGGTGAGAATTATGTGAAAATCACGTGTGTGTCCACACGTGGCAAATGTCTGACAAAGTGGGCGCTGAGGACAGTCAGGTGGGTCAGAGCCAGGTCCTCCTTCCAGCCTCCAGGAAAGTGCCGCCTCCCTTGTGGTGCCACACCCACAGTGACCCTGATGCGGGCAGTACAGCCAGCTCCCAGGTCCCAGCACCGTGCTGCAGCTGCTTCATAGTCATTGTTCTAAAAGGATCGGCCGGGAAGAGATATAAAACAAAATATGGCTCACACCCCCACATGTGAAGCATGCGAGATAAGGAGCAAGAGTGGGCGTGTGCAGGGGCGTGTATGCAGGGGGCATATGGACAGGGGGCGTGTGCAGGGGTGTGTGT